TGCCTCCATCCCGCACAGAGCTGAGCCCCTGGACTTTGGTGCCTCCATCTCATGTGCCTTGATCCTGCGTGGAGCTGAGGCCCTGGACCCGCAGCCTCCATCCCTGTGTGCCTCCATCTTGTGTGGAGCTGAGCTCCTGGACCTCAGTGCCTCCATCCTGTGCACTGACTGAGCCTCCATCCCTGTGTGCCTCCATCCCRCACAGAGCTGAGCCCCTGGACCTGCAGCCTCCATCCTGTGTATTGCTGAGCCTCGATCCCATGTGGAGCTGAGCCTCCATCCCCACGCGCCTCCATCCTACAGTGACAGAGCCAGACGGAGTCCCTGAACCCTTGTGCCTTCATCCTCCTGACTCTGCATCCTACGCTGGACTGAGGCCTCTGAACGCGCTCATCTCCATCCCCCGTGAGCCTCCATCCCACACTGGGCTGAGGCCTCTGAGCCTCCAGGCTTCTGCCTCGTGCTGAGCTGAGGCCCCAGTCCCCATGCGCCTCCATCCCCACGTGGGAGGAGAGCTGGTGGGCGGCCGGAGGCTCCAGCCTTCCGGGCTCTTTGGCTCAGGCCGCTGTCCCTGAGCTCTCCCTGTCCCGGGAGGGCAGCTGGAGCCATGGAGAGGCAGGAGTACAGCCTCTGCTCGGCCCCGAGCCTGCGGTGCGGGAAGGGAACGGACCTGGTGCCCGTGTGCGAAAGCTGCGAGACCTGCGTCTTGGCCTGGAGGATCTTCTCCACCAAGGAGTGGTTCCTGCGGGCCGGCGCGCTCACCCGCAGGAGGTTCCTGCAGGGCATCGTCAAGCGCTTCGACAGCTTCAATCTGCTCTGCTACACCGAGAGGCTCCTGAGAGTGACCCAGGAGAAGGATTTCACTTATGTGCGCTCCGAGATCACCTATGGCCTCAGTGACCGGGACGTGTCCAGCTTCAACGGCGCCCTGGATCCGTGGAGACTAGAGCAAGACATACAGGACACGTGGTGGTGGTTCGCAAAGAGCAGCTACTGGACCAAAGCAAATTACACCCTGCACTTACTGAAGCTCTGCGATGCCAAGCTGCTGTTTGTGGTGGCTGACCTGGTGCGAGAACAGACCGTCTTGGCGAGAACAGGTAACCGCGACGTGAGATCCCACCTGCAGCCGGGCGCTGGCCGCATCAGTCACATCACGGGGCCAGAGGCAACCCTCTAAGTCCTCATGGCATCAAAAGCCACAGAGCTTTGGGGTGGAGTGGCAAGGCTGCACGCGGTGGGAGCCAAGGGCCTTGCAGTGTGGCAGGATTAATGGTTCAGTTGCTGACTAGACACTCAGGGTCACGGATCTTAGCCTAGGGAAAGCTAACCCTAACTTTGGTTACATGTGGGACAAGTGTTCTTGTCTGAGCTAGCTGAAATATTACAATGTAAGAGATCTTTCAATCTTTTTTAATTTACTAGTACTTATTTATCTGCTGCTTATCGGACAGAAAACAATGGACCAAAAAGCTTCCTTCCAGAGCAGGGAGGTCCAAGCGATCTAGGAGTGACTCCCGCCGAGCACTTGCCGCAATGAATTGCATCGGGTTTACTGCATGCTGGCTCTGATGGATGAAAGTTTGCCCTTTAGTTTCTTTCCACGTTATCCACGTGGCAAAGAAAGCGACTGCCYTGTTAGAGGCTCCCAGGACTTCGTCTGGATTCCCGCGAGCTGCAGGGYGCAGCACCAGGGACGAGGCTGGAGATGGCTGCAGCCTCGCCCAGCGCCAGGGCCTGGGTTCCTCGGTCATCTGCGGCATCCCGGGTGGCTCCCGCTGTTGCTCTGGCTGTTCTGCTCTTAAGCAGATGGTTTATTACGTGTAGCAAAACTCTCCCTGCAGGCAGCACAAAGGGTAACAGCTGAAAGCAGCAGTTCAGCCAACACTAGCTATTAATTGTGGCTTTATTTGTCACACGCTATTAACCTTCTGGTTAACGCTGCAAATCCTCTATCACTTCTGGCCCCGATCCTTCCAGCTGAGGAAACAGGATGGCGAAGCAGAGGGAGAGGACACAGGCTGYGGAGGGAACAGGGCCCTTCCTGGCAGCGGGAGTTGGGGCCAGATGGGACTCGGGCTCTGCAGCTTTGCCCTGACCCAGCGCTGTCCTGCCGGGACCAGCTGTCCCTCGGGGCCAGCCGCGTGCGGGCATCGGAGTCGCGCTAAAAACTGAAAAGATGGGATCATTAAAAGGGAATGGAGCCTGCAAGGGTGTGCAGTTGACAGCAGTGCGATGAAAAAGCTTCCTAACATGAATTCTCCTGGGCAACAGATCTCAGAAGGAGTAGCTGTCAACTGAAATCTTTAAGTAGTGAAAAATTTGCTGAAGAAAACCCTGCAGGGACTAGTTCTGCATAGGTAGACATGATGGAATAAATAATATAGCAAAATATATGCTTAGTATACTTTCTAGTCTAGCTTCTGCAATCCCCTAATTGGACTTTAAGGTGCCTGTTGTGATGTGTACGTTGACACTTTGCTCAATTCTTCCAGACAGAGAAGACAGAGATGAATCATCTCCTAAAGTCTTAAACGGCGTCAGAGACGACGGTCGTCCTCATGAAAGCCGGATTCATTTTGCCTTACAGTCTGCTAGTGCTGTATCTGTAAACCTTGTAAGCGCAGTCTCATCCACAAAAGTCAGCCAGTTTGGTAATACAGGTACCACTACCTGAGAATTTAATATTGGAGGAAATCTATAGCACATTGAAGGGCCTGGAACGTTAGCAATTGGCCCTGCTTAGCAATGGTTCTTTTCTGGGCTCATCTAGCCAAAAAGCAGAGCAGATCGTGGCAATGCTTAGCTGGAAAGTTCGAGGAAGTCTGCTACAAAAGGAGATTGTCACTCAGGGGGTGACTCTGTGCTCTGAATCCGCCCCCAAATTTGCTGAGGGGCTGGAAGCCCAATCCTATAGCTGAGATAACCCTTTTGCTCCAAGTGCAGTCGAGAGCACCGAGCTGATGGTYGGTAGAGTTGGAGGTGTTCCACCAGTGCAATCCGAGCTCCGTAATGCCTTGCTGTGCATCCTTTTGAGTTGAAGTTAAAAGCAAGGAAAGCCTTACACCATGGGTGCTTTCAGCTTGACAAAGATGCTCGAGGACACCATGGACACCATTAAACAAACAAAGCAAATGAAAAACTAATGCTAGTAACACGAGAAGGGTGTTGACTCTGTTTACCTTTCCATTACCTTGGAGAGAACAGGAGAGAGGGGTTTTTTTCTTTCTTTTTTTTCCCCCTTCTGCAATATCATGAACGGAACTGTATTTTCATGATGAAAACGGATGAGGATGAGAGGGCCTCCCACTCCTTTCAGACTGAGAGTGCTGTGTTCTTGGCATAAGTGTGCTTTGATATTGCCCTTAAAGACTGGGACAGACCCTGGTCTGTGCTGCTGATCCCTATGGATAGAATTGGAGGACGTAGAGAAAGTATTGCTCTCTTTGTAAGAAAAAATAAATGTCATGTTGCCTTTCCACCATGTCCGAAGAGGGTGTTCTGCAGCATACCTAGTCACCCAATTTTTCCTCACCTCTGAGGAGCCCTCAGCGCCTTTCAGGGCGGTGATGGCTGAGAAGGGTTAGCATCCCACACACCTTCAAGCCCCACAATGGAGCATGACTTGTTCTTCAAGGCGCTGAGTGCTTTCTGCTCCCATAGTACAAAACTGCCCACCGTTTCCTTTGGACCCGTGTGCTGCTGAAGGGCTTTTCAAAGGTAGCTATAAAGTCAACTGACTTTTGCGCTGTGTTACTAACCACTCTACCATTAACAGCGGCTGCAGCTCAAACTCACTGCCTGCCAATTCCGTTGTCTTCTAGGTGGTCAGCTATCAACTAGCCTGTCTGTGTGTCCCCAGAACGGTGAGCACGTCTTCCAGAAGGGACCTGGTATGGATAAATCCTCTACTGCGCCCTTGGTCGCTACAGGTGTCTCTGTGGTTCCAGCATCTTTCCACTCGGTCTTTCATATCAACAAGTACAAGGACTTCATTCGCTGCCTGCCAGCTCACCTGTCCAAGTACATCCTGGGTAAAGGTCCTCTGATTTTCCAGGGGTGGTTTCTCCTAAGGCTCGGAGATGACCTCTGCTTTGCATAGGGGTTAATCACTCTGTCCTCTTCATTCCTCAGCGCTTTTGGATCGAAAATCCCTCAGCACATGTGTGGCTGTGAGTAAATGTTGGGCTTTTCTGGCCAAGGARGTGAAGAGGGAACATGTTTCACAGAAAATAACCCAAGAAGAGATCGTGTGCTTGCAGGTATARGGCTTGGGCTTCTCTCATTATCGTGCACTTTAAAAAGAGGATTTTTTTTCTCTATCTGCCCAGGCCATTAGATGAAAAAGCCTTTTCTGGAGATCACCTCTCAACTTCTTCCTGCTCCTTCTTCTTCCTTTCTCATTCTGCRGAGCTAAAGTGGGTTAAATATTCATATGGTCATAGTAGAGCAAAACAGCCTTTATTGACCTTTAGAGCAGGCAGAACAGTGGCTGGTRTTAGCACCACACAGAAACATGAAAAAGCTGGGTTTCTGTGCAAGAAGCAAGTGGTGGTGGTTGGGACACAGTTGAGCAGAACTTGGGGTAAAGGCTTGTCCTGGTTAGTACAAACCTGCTATAGACTAAAAGAAAATCCCCAAAGTTATGGATTATATGGCTGAGTGCATGCTATTTTTTAGAAAGAGCATGGAAATCCCAGCCTTTTGCTAATGCTCAAAGAAGGTTTAATGAAAGGTTCCATGCGTTAAAATGAATCTTAATCCTATATGGCTAGAGATTTGCTGGGAGCCTTTCACCCCTCAGTAGTTAAGGAGATTCTAAATCAACTGAGTGGCCACTGAAGATGAGATGTGCCTTCAAATTGCACCCATCAAACAGCAAAAGCTTTTCAGCTTATTGAAAGCTACAGACTCCTAAGTTTGAAGAAGAAAAAAAGATATTTTTAAGAAGTTAAATATTGTAGCAATATATATATTTAAGAAATCAAATGTTAGATGAGCAAAGTGGTAAATGCAACCCAATGCTCTTAAGCAGCATCATGAGGACCTGGCAATATTGCCAAAGAAGAAGCCTGCCCGTAGCTTCAGCACTGCACGGAGATGAAGCATGCGAGCAGTATCCCTGTGTGTTAGGGCTGTGTGGTGACCGTGCTGACAGTTGGTGTCTTCCAGGGATCGTGCCCTCGGGGAGTGGTTTCCAACTACGCTAAAATAGTCAATGTGACCATTCCACGGTTGAACAAAGATGGAAATATCATTCAACTGAAAGACCAAAAATGGACTAGTAAGTTGAAGGTATGTCAGAGGTGGTTTTTCTTCTGCGGATCAGTGTGCGGGGAGGGAGGAAGGCGTAACGATGTTGGGAGACTGAACTGGGTGCAGCTTCGCTCTTCTCCTGCCGCTGGCCTGCCCCATCCTGAGCAATTCACAAGCACCAGAACTTGCTCAGCTCCCCTTTGCGCGGGAGGGAGCCTGCACCTCTGAACGGAAGGACCTTGTACCTGCACTAATGCTTCCCTCCGCTTCCTTGAATAGTCTCAAGGGCAGCAGCACTGGAAAGGCTGGGCCGCCTCATGATGACATGAAATTCTTCTCAAATAAAGGGTGCTGTTATCAGGCACTCTACCTTTTGCTACTGAATGCTGTGCAGGGAGCAATCCTTGCTTCTGTACTAATTGGGAGGTTCCTACACACTGGGTGCTTCCCATGGACGTTTTCTATCTCTMTTGGGGTCATCAGCACAGTGGGAATCGAGCTACATGTGCTATGCAGTAACGCTGCGCTCTCCACCCTCCCGGTTAATGCTTTTGTATTTCTCTTTCTGTCTGGAGGAGGATGAGGAAGATAGTCTGCAGTTAGCTTACCATGGTCTGAAAACTGACACCGTACAGTTGGAAGAAAGAAATGTCTTCTGTGGCTCCTACAATATTCGTGTCCTCACGGACCAGTACGTAGACTGCCCAGCTGCTTTCTGCACTAATCCTGTAGGGCTAAAGAAACCTGAAACCTGTCAGAAAAACCTGAGACTTCGGTGGGAATGGGTGGCTGGAAAAGGGTCTTTCAGCATCGGTGTTTTAAGAATCCACAGCATATTACCATTTTTAAAATAAGATACCAAGATGAGWCATTTTTAGAGATGTAAGGAACATCAACCCATGGAGGGTCGCAASGAGCATGATGCTGGGAGGAGCCACCTCCCCTTTTCAACCTTACTTCCCAGAAACTAACTTGGGTATACGGAACTATGAACCTTGCTCGTGATGCCCTGCATAGGATTCACATCCCTAAGTGTGTTGTCCATCAGCTCGCTTTATAATTCAGCATCAAGTGTTATAGAAATGCCTGACAATAATTGCTGTAGCCTGTTGAGACCTGTTGGAAGTCATTATCTGGCTAAAGCTCAGCTCAATCACTGCTTCTTATGCAGATTAGACCCGAACAGAGTAATTCACTACAGTGGTGGAAACTTGGTAGCTGTTGGTTCTGCAGACCGAAAAGTGAGATTTTTGGGCGTGCTGGAAATGAAAGAAGTGCTGCCAATGCTCTCGGGCCACGCTGGGAGCATCAAAGCGCTCTACCTCAATGAGAAGGAAGGATTCGTTCTCAGCGCAAGCTTTGATCTCAGCATCAGGTGAGCAGCACTAGGACTGTGCCCCAGGATACCACCAGACTCTTGAGAAATCTAGAAAAAAAACAAACTTTAAACCTTCCAGCCCAAACTTCAGGAATTTTCCTTCACATCATTTTCATTAGGATAATGGAAAAAAAGGAAAGGGGAAAGGGGAAAGGAAAAAAAGGAAA